GGACCACTCCTTGTACTGACATTCATATCTGGAATGTGACTTCTAACGGGACTGAATAAGTCTGCATTAGGGATTAACTGCGGGCTCTGTATGGGGCTTGACACTGTCTGGGGCTGATTAAGTCAATGGTCAATGTATCCTCCTTGTGTAAAAGACAAAAAGTCGTCCTTTAACGTATCTAATTCGCTTTTAAATTTACTAATGTTTTCCATTTGTACTTCTTGCCACTGTTGTTGACTTTCCTGTAGTTGCTGCTGACTTTCCTGCAACTGTCGGAGACTTTCTTCCTGTTTCCGTTCTTGTTCCAGTTGCCACTGCTGTAATTTTTCTTCTTGTTTATTTTCTTTGTCCTCTAACAACTGCTGTAATTTCTCTTCTTGTTTATTTTTCTCTCCTACAACCACTGCTGTAGTCTCTCTTGTTTACTTTGCTGTTCGAGCTGCCATTGTTGTAGGTTTTCTTGTAACTGCTGTTGTCTTGCTGCCACCAAATCTGCTAAACTGTAGTTTGATTTGCCGCTTCTCATTTCCATCTTCTCTTTTTCTTCTTCTTTTTTTTTTATCCCACTCTTGACAACAATTTGTTACGTCTCCGTTTGTTAATTGATTTTCCGTAACTTCGTTCCGACGAAACTTTAGCGACACCAGTCCTTACTTAATAAAACTGGTTTATTCTTTCCGAATACAACTTTACGATACACTTATTTTCAACAGTCGCTCTATAACAAACGCTATATCAACGAACATCAACAATACTTCTGACTGCAGTTCAATTACTCACTACCTACACACACACATTCTTATCCCATCACGTTGTCACCCTCTTTTATATACCAGACTACCCTATATCTAGTAAATGCTAGAGCATTCGCCAAGGTACAGGATAGTTCTAGATACGTGGCGTGACACAAGTCATGTGACTTCATTGACGCAACAGTATTAAAAAGTTAATTTTTTTCTATATATTTTACTGAGATACTACTTCAATACTAACTCTGATAATGACTAAATTGGTATTAGAAAATCCATTATTTTTCTATTCATTTTACTGAGATACTACTTCAATACTAACTCTGATAATGACTAAATTGGTATTAGAAAATCCATTCTTTTTCTATACCTTTCACTGAGATACTACTTCAATACTAACTCTGATAATGACTAAATTGGTATTAGAAAATCCATTCTTTTTTCTATACATTTTACTGAGATACTATTTTAATATTAACTCTGATAATGACTAAATTGGTATTAGAAAATCCATTATTTTTCTATATATTTTACTGAGATACTACTTCAATACTAACTCTGATAATGACTAAATTGGTATTAGAAAATCCATTCTTTTTCTACACATTTTACTGAGATACTACTTCTGATAATGACTTAAGGTTACTGATTTTGCCAGTCCTCCTTTTATAAGTTTTTCTATATATATCTTTACAAATTGATCTATTAAAGATTAATTACATAGTACAATAAATTGTACAGTTGTTCAAAGAATACATATTATGACATATTCTATGATAAGAAAATTTGCTCTTCTTAAGATAGCTATTATATATAAATACTGTTCAAACTAAGTGTATAAATGCTAACATTTACTAAAAAAGCCATATGATACAATCTAATACTTTAAAATTCTGGTTTCAACTAGATATCCAGTTCAGTTCTAATATGACAAAGATCATATTTACCATCCAAGGACTGAAATATTTCGAGAATGAAGTACCCAAGTTTCTATGACTCACTGATGTGGATAATAATGCTGAATTTGCCACTTGCACTTTACTCTGGTCATAAGTGGAAGCTACATGGTTAAATAAATTGTTTATTTAAAATATTTAACAAGTTGACCAGTGCATGATATTTGTTATTCATTATGAGCAAATATGTGTAAGAAAGTTAAACTTTATTAAGGCATATAAAAAGTCATACCTAACTGTTATTATTCAATGAAAAATATTAAAAGTGATATTCAATTAGTCTTATCATGAACAAATATTATTCTTTAACGCTAGGTTTGGAAGAAAATTTTAGTTTTGAATCAGTGTATCTCCTTATTACAAGAGAAGCCTGAAATCAAAAGAAGTAGTGGTATTGTTAAGAGATTTGTAACTTTTAGATCGATCTATTCATTAAGTAGTACTGTGAAACTTATGTCTTGGTTGTGTGACACTGTTAGACAGATGTGTTGGTTGTATGGAACTGTGTGATTGATATTTTAGTCATGTGACACTGTTAGATGTGTTAGTCGTATGGCACTGTGTGATTGGTGTTTCAGTCACGTGACACTGTTAGATAGATGTGTTAGTCGTATGGAACTGTGTGATTGATGTTTATTTGTGTGGCACTGTTAGACAGACGTGTTAGTTGTATGGCATTATGTTATTGATGGTTTACTTGTTGCTATGAGGCTGATGCAGTGGTTATATGGTAATGTGTGATAAATGTTTTAGTTATATTAAACTGCAACACTCGTGTTAGTTATATGCTATTATGGTATCTACTTTGGTTGTGTGGTCAACTAGAATAATGTCATCTGTATCAGTACTGTTGGTAAATCAATCTAACAAAATAATTCCTTGTATCAATTGTGATTGCTGCAGTTGAATACCAAAGCTATTTGTATCAGTCCTGTTGGTTGTGAGGTGCAATAAGCTAACTCCCTGTATCAGTCATTGTGGTTACATTGTTAAGTATAAAAACATTTTTCTTTGCTGCCTAATACTCTTGCTCTCAAAAACTTATGTTTACACTAAGAGTAATTACTTAAATTGTTGTTTTAATTGGATGCAATTCTCCAGTCACAGTGGTTGACATCTTATACTTGTTTACAACAGTTTAACCCTCATCAGCACACCTTTGAAAAGTTATGTTGTGGTACACCTGGGGTCCAACTGGGCCCCAGCATAAAATTATCATTATAGTAAGCTCTAGATTAAATTCCAAAAACCAATTGCATTACAACTTTTATTAGGGTTTGCATGCAATGTAAACAACATAAAAATATATGTATTCTAGAGGAAGTATGTTGACAAATCAAGAAATTAAAAAAATACATTGTTTCTCAGTATATAAATAAATAGTATTAAACCATTCTTTATAAAAACAGTGTATCAAAAATGCCAGTTTTCTTACAATCCTATATTCAAGTCATTATCCACCAATATATGATGAGATTATACCAATACTGCAAAATTCAATTCAAAGAAAACTGAAAGTATACATTGTGTGTCACCTTGGGTCCAACCAGACCCCAACACAAATGTATCCGTATAGTAGGCTATGGATTGAAAATCCAATAAGCAGGTTATCTACAACAATTATCAAGCAATGTTTCTATAAAATAGGGCATTATAGCAGTGATCACAGATAACACTTGTTGAGAAATGAGAGGAGCATAAATGCTTATCACAATGATGTTATAAACAAACAGATATGATGATACTGTACTACTTTGATGGATTATCTTGTATAACAACCTATATATTGAAATAAACGTTTAGAAATTTGTTTTTTATGGTATAGAGCGAACTGGTCAATGATAGTATGGTGTCCTTTTGGACCTCAGATAAATATTAGATTTCAGCTATGTACTCCATCTGCTTGTTTCATAAATATTGATCCAGGGTTTCTGCTTGACAATTACATGATTTGATATAAATTTTTAATGATTATGTAAAAATATATAAAACCAAAAAAGTTGAGTCCATATGGACCTCAGATGTGCTGATGAGGGTTAAGCTGAGAAGGTAATAAGGAATTAAGTTTGAAAAAAAGCATATTTTACATGAAAGACTGCTGATAATCTTCCAGTTTAAATTTGAACAGTCACACCTCTAATGTGAAAACAAAATTTTATTCCTATTCTTTCATTTCAGAACTCTCAACAAATAGGTTCTTTAAGATAACTAAATTAAAAAAAACTTCAAAAGATAACCATTTCTTTCCATGTATAATTTTTCACTTGCTAAACAATACATCCACATTGTATTTAATTTCAAGATTTATCATGGCAATTGAGAGTATTCAAGAGACAAACAACTCACATTTTTTATTATTTCCCACTCTTTGCTTAGGATTTCGCTGGATTTTAGTTGATGAAATGGCACGGAAAATTTCATCTTTCAGTAATGTTATGGCTAATTTTCCTTCTATGCTCAAGATATTCCAATGGTTATCTGACATCATAACATGAAGTAAACGGACAGCTTCTGGTGTTTGATTAGTAGCATTGATTAACCTGTATAAGAATTAAACAGAGTTCAGGTAATACAAAAGACAATACCTTGTTTAATAACTTTAGTAAACAATTATTATCACCCAGTCACATACACAAGTGTTTATTCAATAATAAACATTTATAATTCAAGGAGAATGACTGCTATATGGGAACATCTCCAGTTAGTTCATTCCAATCACAATTATACAACAGACTTAACAAATAAAAGCTCATTCAACATTTACTTATGCATTACTTTGTTTTAATGCTATATCATATCTCTACAAAACTAAAGTTATTCCTTTAAATATTTGTATAAATTATTTGATGTGAAATTGCACTAAATATGCAATTTAATGTTAACCAAACTTTCTCATTTACAAAACCCATGTTGTTTTCATGGATACCTTAATCTAATGAGTTTAGGATATGAAATTATACATTCTGCTATAAAAAAATGAGAAACATAATTATTTTACTTCTGAGGTACCAGTTTCCTATGTTTACTTATTCAAAATTTAACTATTTCTGTTGGATGATTTTATCTTAACATGTGATATCAAAAGAGGTAACTGACAAATTTTGATCTGATTAATCATATGTAAATTATATATAATAACTATATATAATTATAATATAATAACATAATTATATATAATAACTTTTGTTTTTAAGTATCACTATACCCTAAGTGAGAAATAACACAGAATTACTTTAACCACTGAGTTATTGCTTTCTCTCAAACCTTCAGAAACAGATATCATATCCTTACTCTACAAGATCACACTCCAACACACACTGACTTCTAGATCATTCAACTGTTGTCTTTCACAGCTTAAAAACCATATTATATCCTTACTGTACAAGATCACACTCCAACACACACTAACCTTTAGATCATTCAACTGTTGTCTTTCACAGCTTAAAAACCATATTATATCCTTACTGTACAAGATCACACTCCAACACACACTGACTTTTAGATCACTCAGTTGTTATCTCTCACAGCTTAAACAAAATACACCAACACACATGACTGAAGAAAACAATATCATTCCACACAAAGCATGATAAGGAAGTACCAACATATTCCTGACTGAACAGCATAACACCTAATAAACAAGCATTAACATACACATGATTAGATAATGCTATCACAAAAATCATGATAAGGAAGTACTAATATACCCCTGACTGAACAGCAGAACACCCCTCCAAACAATAATTTCTATAGCACTCTTAGCTTTCTGATAAACTTCGGAGTTTTCATTTGAAGACAGCAGAACAGCCCAACTGTTGAGAAAGGTTCTTCGAATATCTCCTTTAGAACAGAAAAAAAAATTCATAATTTATTCAAGGAGCCACAAAAGAAGTATAATCAATCTTCTAATATTTGTTTCATATACCAATAAATGCTTTGAAATATCATGTGTATTTTTACCTAAGAACAAAATAACTTAGGATTCTTTCAAGTTTGAAATTAGAATACATGGTAACTAAAAATAATATATATATATATATATATATTGGAATTTCTGAGATATTTTGCCAGTTTGTTTTGCATGTTTAATCAAAGTTACATAAGAGCTATCTGCATTAGCCTAACCTGTTTTGAGCTGATAGAGTAGAGCCCAACATTTGTGCTACTCTTAACTAAATAGTGGGTTCTGGCCATCACTCTTATACCACATCCATCGCTCCAAAGTGCAGAGAATGATTTTGTAGCAATGGGATGAGAACCATGGATCCTCAGATTCATGGTTCAGCATTTTTGGCCCGTCTTGTCAGCTAGAAGTTACATGAATGCTATGAAGCTGTTTTTCAAAGTGCAACAGACAGATTATTTACAGTTAGTCTATACTTTTTTTCTATCCTACTCATCATTTGCAGGAACACATGCTAAATCCTTTGTAGTTCACACACAACAATCTTACCAGAAAAAATTTGTTTTTTTAGTGGAAATTACAAACTTTACCTTTAATTAATTATACACACTAAGATATAGTTGAAAAATGCATTTTTAATTGATTGGGTTACACTTAACATTTGATTTGTAATGGGAAAATTTCGAAGTGAGAAAACTTAACAGGTGTTAAACAACCATTTAAGATTAAACTAAACAATCTAAAAGATATGAGGTGTTTCTAATAGTTTATCAAACAAACTTATCTCTTTTCTCGCATAACTGTATTGATGACAAACAGATATATTCACAAGTTAGAAAACATTTTAATCCTACATTTTATTTCTGAGACAGAGTCATTAAACTTGTATTTATGTTACTCTGTTAAATATCTGCTTTGTTTCTTTATGAATATACTCAAGAATATACATGTAATTATTGTAAACAAACTGAACATTGTACTGTTGATCTGAAGCACAAGAAGAGACATCTAGAAATGTCCCTTTGCTGTTTAGCATGAGTTAAATGGCTAGGTCACATAATCCAAGGTTCAAGAATAGTTATCTCTAGCTTAGAACTGGAGACCAGAGTGAAAGCAACCACGCAGCAGAATCCACTGCCTACATGGCTATACTCTTTATCAGAATCCATTGCCTAGATGTCTATACTCTTTATCAGAATCCACTGCCTACATGGTTATACTCTTTATCAGAATCCACTGCCTAGGTGTCTATACTCTTTATCAGAATCCACTGCCTACATGGTTATACTCTTTATCAGAATCCACTGCCTATATGGCTATACTGTTTATCAGAATTCACTGCCTACATGGCTATACTCTTTATCAGAATCCACTGCCTACGTGGCTATACTCTTTATCAGAATCCACTGCCTACGTGGCTATACTCTTTATCAGAATCCACTGCCTACGTGGCTATACTCTTTATCAGAATCCACTGCCTACGTGGCTATACTCTTTATCAGAATCCACTGCCTATAAGGTTATACTCTTTATTAGACTAACTGTCACAGTAATAAGTCCCCTCAACCAAAAGAACAGAATGTCTTTAGCAGTATGTCACAGTTCAAACCTGGGACCTCCCAAGTCATGGACCAACACAGTAACCATTAGGTCATACCAACCCATTTCCTTGATCAGTTATTAAACTTGCACTCATTCTTTTACACTATTCTGTTAAATGTCTAGTTTGTTCATTACTAAATATACTGAAGCAAACAAGAACCGTATACATAATTAAGACAATTACAGTATACAATATATATAGATATATATATGTTGGTGTACTTTGGTGACAGATTTTCTTGTAGGCAGATTTTGTTAAACAAGATCGATGTCTGTAGGTTTACTTTCTTCTTAGAATTCTTCTCAAGAAGTCGATAAGCCGTTTTAACGTTGTTAGAACAACGGGTAAAAGTTGTAGATAGTGATGAGTTGCCCGACGCGTTTCGAATGCGTTTTGCATCCATTATCAAGGCTGAATGCTGTGTGAATTGTGATTACTGTTGGTGGATATTTATAGGTATGGGTAAGCAGGTGGTGGTATCTAGCTCGTGGAAGGCGTTAATTGGTGGAATGTTGTATTGTGGTTTGGGGGTTTCTCGCCAAGAAGTAGCAGTGTGTGTGCTGTTCCTGTCGATTGTTTGTTGATTATGGGAGTTTGCTGTAGGATTTTTATTGTCTTCGTGTATTTGAAGTAGTTGTG